ATATATTTTCTCAATTATTGGCTTGTGATTCTAGTTAGGCATCTATTGTGTGCTCTGTATGAATGAATCTCATCAAAATACACTTACTGTTATGTGATCAGCCTGGAGTATGAGATATATTTTGTCAATTATTGGCTTGTGATTCTAGTTTTGCATCTATTGTGTGCTCTATATGAATGAATGTCATCCAAATACACTTACTGTTATGTGATCAGCCTAGAGTATGAGATATATTTTGTCAATTATTGGCTTGAGATTCTAGTTAGGCATCTATTGTGTGCTCTATATGAATGAATGTCATCATATTTTGAGACTTCGACACTTACTGTTATGTGATCAGCCTAGAGTATGAGATATATTCAAACATAGTTCTATTCTTTTGTTAACATTTCTACTTCTCAGTTGGCAAGACTATCAATCAGGACTGCACATCTTGTTTAGATAATAGTTCAATGTTTATATTTATGTGCTTCTATTGCTAGAAGATATCACAAGAATTAGAAGAAGACGCTTAGAGTCATCTGCTTGGTTAGTAGCAGTCAGATCTTGTAACTGAAATGTATGTTGTCTTTCTTGCTTTATACTATGTGGTGCAGGGGAATGTGATTTTTGAAGGGGCACCACCACCTAGCTTGCCACCAAGAAGCAACATCAAGTTTAGGATCCAACTTGTTCTCTTTTGCCTGGTCATGGTAGCAATCGTGTCATTTCTTCTCTGGTTGTTCTCACCTAGATTGCGCTCACTCTACTATGAATGGGGAATGAGAAGGAATGGGGACATTCCAACGACGCCGTTTCCTGTGGATTCTGGCCCACCAACAGCACCCTCACCATCTGCTAATGATTGGCCCAGACCAACACCAACAGCACCTCCAAATCCCAAGTCCTCCACACGTCCTCAGTTGCCATGTATGTGGATATCCCAGTTGTTATTTATATGTGGCCTGTCCATATTGTGGCCAGATTTCCACATTATCTGTAATTTAATTAGTTTCTATTTTACTATTAGGTTAAATACTAAGACTTATTGGTACTCTATTCTAGTTTAATTATATGGATTGGTACTCTTTCCTTCTCTGGGTTTTGTCCCAAGGGGTTTTCCCCGAGAAGGTTTTAATGAGGCCGCCATTAACATTCTAGCCTTTACTATGTACGTTGTTATGTGGTTTTTAATGAAGTAACCTATTTGCTCTATTTTGCCAAGTTGTTTGACAACTTCTCCAATCTAATAAAGCCTTATGATAAACTGGAATTAATTCTATTCTTCCATCTGAATGATGTAATACTCAACTTTATTCAACGGTACTCATGGTTTCAAATATCTGTTGTAAAATCTTTTACTTGCCTTAATTCCCAAGATGAATCACCCCTCGAGATCTCAACAAATACTGCATTGACCATTTAATTAGCAGGAAGACTTTTTTACATAATTGGAAGAAGTGAGACAGAGCACTTACTATGAGCAAAAACAAGGGTTGAGAAGTAGAACCAGAATATAGTTCCAATTTGCCGTGAGGGCGAACCCTGGAACTCTTGGTTAATTGGACGCACAATTAGCCACACAACCAAACCAGTTACCATAAAGAAACACAAACTTGTTATCCAGAGATCTGCAGAAAGAGGTTTCAAGAAAATCCACATGTTTTCCTTTTCATTTGGGACTATCATTCCCACATCTAAGTCCGTATATGGTACTGTAAAATCAACATATAAGGACCTGTTCGATGTGATTGTCGTATCTCCAACAACAGCATCGTATTTCTATGTTATTCGCACCCAAATATGTGGCAACGAAAATCAGTAATGAAGTTAGTTAGAAATTTCTGTATATAACAAGAAGTAAAAATCACCAAAAATAATATACTAAGACAGAACAATATTTTTGTCCATTATCAAGATCAAAATTTAGACTTACCTAATAGAAGCACACTACGAACCAGACACATGCCATTTTATTTTTGTGTGTGTTTGTACAAGGTCAGTTTCTTGGATACCATCATGTTAAGTTTTGTCAACTGCCCCTATCAACTTAAGCTACTTAGAATGTAGATTTAATCTACCACGATTTGGGCCATTAATTGTTTGCATTCTACCAGAAACCAACAACCAAGTGTACCTTGAGATAAACCTGGTGCACAAGATCATTGTAAGTTCCAGCAGAATGTCCATTGGCATCCTGAAATGGAATAAACTCGTAATGTACTTCATATAGCAGAGCACCAATTGCAGCTTTGAACACGTCTATACAAAATCCAGTGACATATGTTCTACTGCCCTGAAGATCATAGTCCACGCACACAAGGTCCTTGAATCCTACTTCACTGGCAAGCCAATTCTTAGTTTTACTTCACTCAATTGATTCTTGGAACCTTTCAAGACTGTTGTTGATCCTCCAGGCCATATGATTGTCTCCAGATCACCAGTGGAAATTAACTTTCTTTTGGTATGAAGCAGGTGGGACTCCTTTATGTTTCCTTCTACACAAGGCAAAAGCCCAACTTTACTATCTCAAATGCCCCTGAATTTCGTTTCCCATTTGGATACCGAGTTTCACCACTTAAACCTTTAAATCTACCTTCCAATATCTCTCTAAGAAGCAGAACTCCATGTCCGAAGGACCTCGTATTATTTATATCATCTGGTAGTCTAGTTTGGTGTATGGCTGGTTAGTTGTAGAATTTACTATCCTTCCCTCTCAATTGCTTCTGCTAGAGCCCAAGTGGCATCATATGCCCAGATTGCATCTGCACTTAACTCCCTTACTTGTACATTGGCCTCCTCCATGTAAAATTTCCTCCTCAATCTCGAAGTAAGATTTTGGAGGCTCCTTGATGCTGGAATGCAAGACTTCAAACCTACTACTCCTTGCATTGACTCAATTACAGATAAATCCATGGAATGCAGGAAATTCATGCTACTTGATGTCATAATATCCAAGCATAACCTTGACCCATCATTCCTAATCTTTTTGCATTTAAGAAAAGGCAAGGCACAAGTAAATGTGAAATGTGCACGAGAAAAACCTTAGTATTCAGTTGCATTAGCTTTTGGAGGTCTTCAATGATTTGTTCGCTTCTTGAGGAGGTAGCAAATGAAATTTACACATTTTTCTCCTGTAAGGAAATGACCAAAGAAGGAATGATGTCTCTCCCGTATTTCGTGTTCTCATATATAAGGATAACATCCCTCCATTGGAACTTTTCAATCAGGGCACTGATTCCCATAATTTGAGAAGTTTCATCCTGTGTGATCTCAACAAAGAAGGGATATTTGTTAGAGGGAGAGGGAGAAGGACTAGGTTGAGAAAGAGACATCACAGGTACTTTAGCTTCTTCTCCTAACTCTGCCAAAAGGTTTGCTTCCATACTTGTTTGTGCACCAATTATTGCTTGCACTTGGACGTCGTCCAAAAGATTACGAGCTGCGTTGGTTAACAAGTAACTTATATAATGACCATAAGTGTATTTATCATATAGCAAGTGATACCATGCCTATGCATCCCTAAGAGTTAAGGTCGCATGTCAAACCCCAAATAATAATGAAGTAGCTCTGTTGAAATCAGAGTATTGCCTACATGGGAGTTAAGATTATTAACCATAGGTTTCAGAAATCCCTAGAAGAAACTATTCTCTGTTTACCACTGGATCCATCATGTTGTTTCTTCTTTCTGTTCTGTTTCTTTAATTTAGAGACTACTTTGTAATTCCACAATATATTTAATTCAGACGTCAACAGAGAAACTGACAAGTTTAGAGGCTTTGAAATTGTGACCTTGTTTACTAGGCTTCAGAAGAAGATGTAGTAAAAAACACAACTAGTGTGTAGAATGGCTCACCAGCTGATAGAGCATGTAGTCTAGAGGTTTTGCTTTGGAATCTCTAGTGTGTTGAATCACTCTTGTGGTGTAGTTATTATGCATCTGGTAGAAATCAGACAGGACTGTAGTAATGCAACTGTGAACAATCTTCCCTTCCCTTGATTCCATATGAAGAATCACCCCAACGTGAACCTCTTCCACGATTGTGGGTCGACTATCGTAATGCGTGTCTTTAGTTGCAGCACACAAGAAGTATCCGAGGATGGACAAGGAGGTCACAAATGAGAAGCAAAGCATGGTTTGCTTTTTCTTCCCTTGAAACTCCATTTTCTCTTGTTTTTATGTGATTCATAGAGAATATATATATATATATATATATCAGAATGGTCAACTTGTTTTTATGTGGCAATCCTTATGTGCATGTTAGGGAATTTGAAGAGGCTATTGGCACTTTTTACAATGGTAATGGTCAACTTGATAGGCTTAATTTCATAAGGTTAAAGTTTTTCCCTTTTTCCTTAAAAGAGAAAGCTAAAAGTTGGTTATATTCATCAAGGGCCAGGTCCATATGTTCTTGGGCAGAGATGACCCAAGCATTTTTTAACAAATATTTTCCTAATCACAAAACAATTGCTCTATCCCCAATCTAGGTGAGACCACTGATCGATCAAAATCTTCTACTAATAAAGGAATTTATCAATTAAAAGAAGATCATTGGAAATTAAAACCGCGCCGACATTTTAGCTTGTTTCTATAACGATGATAACCACAATAACAAGAGCCCAATTTGTTCTTACAGTTATCAATGTTATAGAAACAGGCTAAAATGCTCATGTGCTATTGCGGTCTTAAAGAAAGGTTCTTCGTCCACAGTAGTTCCTTTCATCAACTTAGGCTAACTTCCATGATTCTTGTTCTAAAGCCAAGATAACGAGAAATATAAATTAATCGTTTAATTAATACCAATATTTGTGCCTTAGTGCAAGGAAGGCGCGAAACCTTTGTAAATTAAGCGGTATGCGGGAAACAACAGGATAACATTCACTTGTGCATTGTGAACTGTGAAATGTGAAATGTGGTAAGAGTAAATAGAAGATTATTCATGCATTGTGAACTGTGGTAACAATAAATAGAAGATTATTCATCTTTTCTTCAGAGCCATATGGAATTTCATATACATTTGAACAACATGAATTTGAATAAAGTAAGAGTTGAGCAGGCAAAGCCAACAAGTCAAAATAGCAATTATAATCAATTTTTTTATACAAATATCCCCCACTCCCGTTTAAAACTAGTTATTATAAATTTTCCTTAAGACAGGCATGTATTATTACCTAGGAACAACTGATCCACGCCTCCATTCAGATTCCAGTGAAGGAAGAACTGCTGGTTTCTGCACTGCTGTGCGAATTACATTGAGGGCAATAACACAATTCTCTTCCTGCTTTTCTGGATGTGCAGAAGACAGATCTCCAAAGGCTTATTATTCCCTTCAATCTTCCTACAGCAGGATCAAGGAAAGGCTCTAGTATCTCCACAAAATGAGTATCCTACGCTTAACTTCCCGAAAACAGAAAAAAGTACACAAAAAAATAAGTTCTCTTTTTTTTTACTTTTTTTCTTTTTTAAAAAGAAACATAGCCATTATAGAAAGATTTTTTTAACTCAATAAATAAAAGTAAGCTTATGTGGCGGTTATAAATCTCAAGAATACCAAAGGGGATAATTGACAATGACATTACAAAAAACTAACACTCTAACTATCCAAACAGAAACATTTGAGCCCTCTGGCTATCCAAGACACTAAAATATATACCAAAACAATGAAGCAGATAAACTTTTAAATTACCAATCATGATGACAAGAAAACCAAACAGAATGCAGTACCTTATACTTTCCTAGCATATCATCCATGTGACCAGAGAGAGCCAGAACAATGAATTTTAAGGCAGAACGAGCACGAAGCAGGAGTGGCGAGCACCCTAAAACAAGAGCAATGACAGAGTTTTTACATAATGAAAACAAAAGCTAGCTGTCAGAAAATGCATAACATTCAAAGTTCATGTAAACCTAGTACTCTATCCTCGATAAAGTTTTATTATTTATTAGAACCCAAAAATATCTCATGTGCAAAAACAAGAAACTTTAACAGCTGACCCAGTTGTCACTTCATCAAAGTTTGATCTTATGCATATATGGCTCAACCTATCTTCCTTACCTTTGACAATCTGAGATGAAACATAAGAGCATTATAACATTAATATTTTTTGTTCAAATAATTGAAAAGCATACCTGAATTACACCCAAAAGATCCTCTAGAAGCTCTACAGCCAGATCAACCTGTGTTCAAACCAAAAAGAAGTTCGAATAGAAGTGTAAACACACGGGAGAACTAAACCACACTATGAGAAAGTTACAGCAAAAGAAATCAGACTCAGACAAACCTTTGCAACCACTTGACTTAGCCAAGGTGCTAGCACGCCACAACAGAGATCAATCAAAACACATGCAGCCTTAGCCTGCAAGACAAAACAGGTAAACACAGTTTGTTCCCAAGTGAGAACAATATATTTCAATAGGGTACGGGTTTGTGCTTATTAGAAGTTATATTTATGGAATATATACTGCTATAAGTATAAGTATCCACGAAAAATATCAAACATTCTCACAAGCAAACAAAACTTATTTCCATTTATACTCCTTGAACCAACCAATGTCATCCTTTTCTACATCAACAGAATATTATTTTTCATCCCATTGGTCATATTCTTAAATGCAAAGAATGTTTCTCTCATTCTCACATATAAAAATTTTTTAAAAAAAGTATTAGAAATAGAGATGAATAGGCGAGGATAGAATTCTAAGCAGGCTAATAATAATAAGCAAAGTCACTAACATGCGATGGTGAATATGATGATAAATAGCCAGCACAAGCATGAAGAAGTGGACGGTATAATGATGAACACGATGTTGCTACAAACTGCAGTAATAACACCATGATCAGAATAATATGATCTACTGGTCAAAATACATATCAAATTTACCAAGCCAATTTTCATTAACATTAAGCACAACCTGGGAGAGGGCTTGTTGAACAATTGGTTGTTTCCATTGAGAGAAACTATCATCAATAATGTCAGATGGACGGCTAACAAAGGGACGAAGTGCTATAAAACCCAAAGAAGAACATGTGAAACAAATTGATCAACCAGAAATCACCCCAGAATTCTCAGTAAAATTCAGAAATCAGATCAATGAAATCCATATTTTGAATTTACTGCAAAAAAAGTATTAGAAAACCATTATGCGTAATACTGGAAAACTTAATCTTTGAAAGCAAACAAAGAAAAAAAGAGTTCCCCAGAAGAAGTGGAAACAAACTAGACCAAGTCAATTGGTCAACGAACCTAAGCTTAAACATAAAAAACAGAAGTAGAAAATAATTACCACTTCAGACCAAGAAGAAAACATTAAAAAATAAACACATATATATGTCTGTATTATTGTCTGATTAAGTATAAAACTACTTATTGCAAAGCAACATTTCAGAAGGCACACATTAGGGTTTAACCAGAAAGACAGAATTCTGGTTTCCAAAACTTTTAAGAATGAGTGTGGAACTTCAAACTATTAGGACATCTATATGACATGACAATTACTAGGAAGAGCGATTAGGTGGGACAATCAACCTGGCAGTAATGCTTGAATTAGCGGTAACGCAGACCAGAAGTCAGAAGTCCTATCTGCTAATTTGCTGCAGAGCTGAGGCTGAGAAACATCACAGGTTAAATTGTAAGTGGATAGATCAGAATAGCAGCGAACAAAAAACAGACATCAGAATAGCAGAGGATGCTTATTGAGTTTAATATCGCTATTGCTGTAATCAACCTGTGACGCACAAGCATAAAGAACATGTAAAATCCCTTCCTCCACTGCTCCTATATCCAAGATGTTAAGATAGCTTGAGTCCCAGTGATCATCAGAACTCTTCTCCAAACAAGTTTGAGTAATCAACTAAAGGAGCCGGATTAGTTATTTCTGATTTTACTGCTTCATCTCCATATGTCACTTCACCAGGAGGTGTTGATCCTTCATGTGCCACAGGCTCTATAAGCTTATGCAGAACTCTAGCAGCCTGAGATCAAAAGCATAAACGTGTCCAACCATGTAGTAAAATTAAAACCATGCCAAACGACCATCAAAAGGAAAAAGTGAGGAGACCCATTAATTACCATTCTACAAACAATTCCTAAATCAGAATCTTCGTATGCCTTTCTCAACAGCACAAAAATTGCATCTGCACGGAATACTATAGAACTGGATGTTGACAGGATGAAAGGTGAAGTGCCGCGTGATCTTCATGGCTGCATACAATAAAAGGAGCAAGCTATAAATCATCTAAGACCATAAATAATGAAAAGTTCATTTAATATCAATCCTCTATACAGGACACCGTTCTACAGTCCAGAGAGGGGAACATTGGAATAAAGTTTTGCATGTGAAGTCAAAGGCAAAAAGAAAAGAAGACAATGATGAAGAAAAAAAAAAAAAAAAAAAGAGCACAAAAGATACCTCAAAGTTAGAAGACACGGTTAAGGCTGATGACAGCTGATTATGTTAAGAAACCAGAGTCTGAGATATTGCCTTAAGACTTTGCAGCTGTCCTGCAGTATCAATACAAGACAACATTATAGTAAGTACATTGGCATAGCTGAGTGACCTAAATGTGTAACAGAGTGCAAAAAGATGAGAGATCTACATGAGCAATGATGACTGAAACGCCAAAAATTATAGAACAAAGTCAAATTTACGGCTAACAGCAAACTTAACAAAATGTTTCAAATGTGTCATTCCCAAAAATGATCGTTGTCATATAGACATCTGATGTGCAAAATGTTTAATGCAGCTTTTAGATGACTTAATTAGTAACGACTTCGATTGTTGAACCACTGGAAATCAATTATTTGATGGGAACATGCTTTACTAAACATTGGAACAGGAAAAAGGAGAAAGTGCTTCGTTATTGCACCTTAACACTGGCCTGTAATTCTTGGGCTTGAAAGAAATATATGAATTTCCAATGATTTTAGCTCATTTTTAGAGTTAAGTTAAATACAGGATAAGGTTTATGACCTCTACATGAACTAATGGACCAAGCAGAAGGCAGGCCCCAATCTCATAAAGCTAGATTGGCATTTAACCTGCCAAAGACCCCCATTCGGGTAATGTAGAGTAGCATTTAGCCTGCCGAACTAATATACGCACAACATATTCGGATGCCAATATGCGCTTTTTCAGGAAACTCTTTCAAATCAGTGTCTGACCTTCAAAGCCAAGACTTCGCACAATTAACAAACTCCAATCCTTTAATTCATTTTATCAACCAAAACTAACCAAACAAAAGAGCTTGAACTACTAGTACCAGACTTGATTTTAGTACAATAACAGCACCCAACAAAATTCCTTTGATTACCAGTCAAACCTCCAAACAACAATCTTCTAATTACATCAGCTGATATCTTTACCCTAAAGGGTCTAAACTTCCTACACTTCTTTCCCATATAATCCCTGGATATTTGACCCCCAAAAATAAAAATATCCCTGTACATCTGTCTAAAATAACCTTTGCACAGATTGCCACTTAAAACCCTACTACCTACAACCAACCCCAAAACGTGTCATCAATTATTTTTCCTTTAAGGACCTTTTAACACCCTCTGTCACCTCGATTTTGCATCAAGGTGAAAGAGGAAATCAAGGTAGATGTATATATTCCATAAAACATGATAAAGGAGCAGTAACAGATAATACAAACAGGATTGTAAGGTTTGAAACTGAAAAAAATTTGTTCTTCAAATCAATTCTCATTCCAAAAGTCAAATATTCAACTCTTATAAGCTCAAAATAAAATAAAACCAAGACACTCCAGAATATTTCTATAGTTATCATTAAATTACGAAAAGGGAATAGTCTAGATAGCAAGCATATAAGAAATTCTTTACCATAGAATACTCTAAATAATCACTTTGTGCTCTCAAAAATTAAGCAATAGAGTTGCAAAGGCATGAAGATAAAGTATATACATCATCTGTAACAACATGCGAGCAAAGACCATTGCAAGCTGGATTTGGGAGATAGCATGCATGAAACATATTAAGCAGGTACATACCTTTCATTCCCAAGATTGTATGGGATAAAAA